ACATTAGGTCAAAATGACAGTTTGGACATCCTTGATGGACTCAAACTGTATTCCTTTTCAATACTGAGTTTTGGTAACAAAAAGATGTCAAAAGAGGCAAGATCAAGACTATATGGAGCTTTGCAGTCTAGGAGCGGAGGTCCCTGGGACCATCAAGGGAGAAGAGCAGACAGTGGGACCCTACCCAGAGAAGCAGTGACGCCAGAGATGGAGGCAGAGGCGATGACGTGGACAGATGAGCGGCTAGGGACTGCAGACCCAGAGAGGGAGAGGGGCTGTGTGCTGACAACTAGTGGGGCAGGCATGCTGGGTATACCCTTTGGTTGGCTGATGATGCATGGAGAGGATTGTTAACCGTAGCAATGAAACGATATACAACAGGATTAATGTAAAGCTAATGTTCTCCCATGTAAACTATCATATAATTCACAATAAAACATTAAAAATAAATAAATAAATAAAGACTATATGGAAGATGGGATAAGGTTTTCAAGCATAATTATCATAGGACAGCCTTTGCTCCCGCAAAGAATGAGCAGGTACACTGTTGTGATAGAAAAAATTCCTTGGAGCAACTTTCATGATTTTTTTTCTCATCAGTGAAGGTTTCAATTTTCTTAAACTTCTTCCTGGTCAGCCCCCATGATCATCCTCTGCCCTCTGAGAAATTCTACCAAGATTACTCCTTTGAAATCCTACCCAAAAAGTTGCTAAAACCTTGTGAACTGACTCCCTCTGCTTTGAATATCACTAGCTCAGCAGATCTCCTCAGAAGACATTGTTTTGATTGAACCTTCTTTTTAAGTTATATTTAGAAGCTCAGAAGGCTTACAACTAGGAGAATTTGTAGCAGAATCAAGAAATCCATTGCTTTCTAATTCAAGACGCTCAGCTGCTTCCAGAGCCACCATCTTGGGAGAGACCAAGCGGGGAAGGATCCGAAAAGCCACTAACTAACGCTGACAGAACTGTGGACATTCTTTCTTTGGTATCTGTTCATTGGTCTCTCACTGTCTACGCACCTCCATTCTGGTACTAGAGGGGAATGCCTGATCCGATGGACATCCCACCCCCTCCCCTGGCGGGTTCTACTATGCATGTACACAGATCTCCTCGAAATTTAAAGTGACAGTTTCCACTTAAAACCAAACGGTCACCACTTGTCTGTCAGTTTCTTGTCCTGTGGTGGCTTATGAATTGCTGTGATTCTGGAAGCTATGTCACCGGTATTTTAAATACTAAGCAGGGCCACCCATGGTGGATAGGTTTCAGATGAGTTTCCAGACAAAGAAAGACTAGGAAAAAAGAGTGACGAATTACTTCCGAATATTTAGTCACTGAAAACCTTATGAACAGAAGAGAAACACTGTCAGGTATAGTGCCGAAAAATGAGCCCTTCAGGTTGTAAGTCACTCAAAATATTACTGAGGAAGAGCTGACTGCTCAAAGTAGAGTTGACCATGATTACGCAAATGGAGTAAAGCCCGTAGGAGAAAAGCCCACGGAACCTTCATTTGCTGATGGGGCACAACTCAAAATGAAGAGAAACATCTGTAAACATTCACTGAAAATCAGAACATGGAATGGATGAAGTATGAATCTGGGAAAGTTGGAAGTTGTCAAAAATGAAATGGAACGCTTAAACATCGATATCTTAGGCATTAGTGAGCTGAAAAGGACTGGTTTTGGCCATTCTGAATCTGACAACTACATGGTTTACTATGCTGGGAATGACAAATTGAAGAGGAATGGTGTTGCATTCGTCTTCAAAAAGAACATATCCAGATCTGTCGTGAGGTACAATGCTGTCTGTGATAGGATAATATCCATGCGCCTACAGGGAAGCCCAGTTAATACCACTATTATTCAAATTTACGCACCAACCACTAAAGCCAGTGAGGATGAAACAGAAGAAATCTATCAACTTCTTCAATCTAAAATTGATCAAACATGCAATAAAGATGTATTGATCATTACTGGTGATTGGAATGCAAACGTTAGGAGCAAAGAGGAAGGATCAGTGTTTGGAAAATAAGGCCTTGGTGATAGAAATTATACTGGAGAACGCATTATAGAATTCTGCAAAACCAATGATTTGTTCATTGCAAATACTTTCTTTAGACAGCACAAAAGACATACACATAGACCTCACCAGATGGAATACATAGAAATCAAACTGACTATATTTGTGGAAAGAGACAATAGAAAACTCCATATCATCAGTCAAAACAAGGCCAGGGGCAGACTGTGGAACACAATTACTCATATGCAAATTCAAACTGAAGCTGAAGAAAATAAAAACAAGTTCGCAAGAGCCAAAATATGACCTTGAATGTATACCACCTGAATTTAGTGATCATCTGAAGAACAGATTTGATACACTAAACACTAAAGGCCGAAGACCAGAAGAGTTGTGTGATGATATCAAGAACATCATCTAGGAAAAAAGCAAAAAGTCACTGAGAAGACAAGAAAGCAGGAAAAGGTCAAAATAGATGTCAGAAGAGACACTGAAACTTCCTCTCCAGCGTAGAGCTGCTAAAGCAAATGGAAGAAATGAGGCAGTCCAAGAGCTGAACAGAAAATTTCAAAGATCAGCTCGCGAAGATAAAGCCAAATATTACAACAAAATGTGCAAAGATCTGGAATCAGAAAACCAAAAAGGAAGAACACGTTCAGCATTTCTCAAGCTGAGGGAAACGAAGAAAAAACTCAACCCTAGACTTTCGTTATTTAAAGGTTCTTTGGGCAAATTATTTAATGATGCAGAAAGCATCACGGAAAATAAAAGGAATACAGAGTCACTATATCAAAAGAAAATGGTTATATGTTAAACTGTTTCAAGAGGTAGCATATGCTCAAGAGTCCATGATACTGAAGGAGGAAGTCCAAGGTGCATTGAAGGAATTGGCAAAGAACAAGGCACCAGGAATTGATGGAATGAAAATAAAAATCTTTCAGCAAAGTGAGATGGCACAAGAGGCACTCACTCATCTCTGCCAGGAAATTTGGAAGACAACTATCTGGCTGACTGATTGGAAGAGATCTGTATTTGTGCCCATTCCAAAGAGAGGTGACTAGATGGAATGCGGAAATCATCAGACAATCTCTTTGGTATCCCATGTGAGTCAAGTTTGGCTAAAGGTAATACAGAAACGGCTACAATCATATATCGACAGAGAACTTCCAGAGGTTTCAGCCTGATTCATAAGAGGCTGTGGAACAAGCTTGTATTCTTTCACCATACTATTCAACCTGTATGCTGAGCAAATAATCTGAGAAGCTGGGTTATATGAAGAAAATGTGGCATCAGGATTGGAGGAAGGCTGATAAACAACCTGCAATATGCAGATGATACAACCTTGCTTGCTGAAAGCGAAGAGGACTTAAAACATTTACTGATGAAGACCAAAGAGCACAGCTTTCAGTATGGATTACATCTCAATGTAAGTAAAACAAAAATCCTCACCACTAGACCAATAAACAACATTCTTAACAATGGAGAAAAGACTGAAGTTGTCAAGGACTTCATTCTTCTTGGATAAACTATCAACACTCATGGAAGCAGCAATCAAGAAATCAAACAACATACTGCATTAGGCAAATCTGCTGCACAAGACCTTTTTAAAGTGTTGAAGAGCAAAGATGTCAGCTTGAGGACTAAGGTGACCTGACCCAAGCCATGGTATTTTCAATAACCTCATATGCATGCAAAAGCTAGACAGTGAATAAGGAACACTGTAGAATTGATGCTTTTGAGTTATGGTGTTGGAGGAGAATATTGAAAGTGCAATGGGCTACCAGAAAAAACAATAGATCCGTTTTGGAAGAAGTGCAGCCAGAGTGCTCCTTGGAGGCCAAGATGGACAACCTTTGACTCTCATACTTTGGACATATTGTCAGGAGGGACCAGTCTCTGGAGTAGGTGGAGGGTCAGAGAAAAAGAGGAAGACCCCCCCCCCCCAAACGAGATGGATTGGCCAAGTGGCAGCATCGATGGACTCTAGCGTGGCAAGAGTAGTGAGGTTGGCCCAGGGCTAGCCAGTGTTTCGTTCTGCTGTGCATAATGTCGCTATGGCTCGGTACCAACTCGACAGCACCTATCAACAACAACAACAACATTGTGTCTTGGTGTGACACTGTAGGACAAATGCTTGACCATAAAGTTGGTCTGCACTGCAAGGTCGGCAGTTCAAACTCATGAGTTACTCCTCAGAAATCCTATAAAGGGTTGCTATGAGTTGACTAAGACAAGTGTATTACTGAGAGAACCTGCCTGCATCCATCTGCTGATTGCAACGACATGTGTAAACATATTTTGTTTGGAATAAACCATGTATGAGTTAATAACCTAAGTAGCAACACTTTGTAACTTACCCTTTTTTATCCAGAATTTAACCTTTTGTTTCCACTTCCAACATCATCTCCCTTAAATTACTGCTATAGTCCTTTAAATTATCTGAATCCAACTTTGCCTCTTCATAGCCTACTTTCTATACACCACTTGGCTGATCCAACTAAAACTTCAGATGATAGCACTCCTCTGCTGAAAAGTGTTCTAAGATTTTCTATGGTATTCCCAGATAGCCTACTTTATCACATCTTTGCATTTTCTGTTCAAATGCATTCTTATAACAAAGCCTTCTCTAACCATGTTTTATGAAACAGTCTCCTACATAGCCAACCTTGTCACTACAAATCTCCCTTACCTTACTTAATTTCTCTCCAACGCGCCCTCTCCTAATATATTCATTTGCTTACTGTGTGTCTCCAGTACCCCAAAAACTACAAAGGCAGGAATTTGTACACTGCTTTATCCCCAGTATCTTGAACAGCACATGGCAAAACAAAACAAGAACAATAATTTTTAAGAAATGTAAAAAATCGTCAATAAACACTAAGTTAAATTAACGAACAAAGAAAGAAAAGAAAAAAGGGAAGGAGGAATAGAAGGGATGAAAGATGAGATTAAGGCTTGACCTTCAGATTGCTAAACATACCTAAGCGTTGAATCAGTAGCATGTGCTGCTGTTGTAGTAATGACTGGCGACTGAGCTCTGGTGGCTGAGACAGTTGCTACCACAGCAGGAGGGATGGTATTCGAGGTGGTCACAGGTGGCCGAGACTACCAAGAGAAGAGAAAAAATATTTCATTTAAAATAAAAGACAAAACAAAATATACTAAGACAAACACTATAGAATAATTAGAAACTTCGGCCTCTTAATAAATCTATTTTTGGCCCAATGAAAGTAAATTCTCACCATTCTGTTATTAAGGAATTCTCTTTTCATATATGTTGTTATAAGATCAAAAGACAGAATTATAAAAAAATCAACAATGTGTTTGTTCAATAAAATTCTGTCCTATCATAAAAAATATAATAGGACCTAATTATTCAGTTCTACTGTTTCCAACAGATCTGTCCCTGATCCTGGTGCAGACATTTCACACTACCACATACATGATCAAATGTTTTCAGCTGTCTACAAAATCATACGAATTGGGCTGTGAACCTCAGGGTCAGCAGTTTGAAACTACCAGCTGTTCTGCAGGAGAAAGATGAGGCTTTCTGCTCCCATAAAGATTTACAGCCTCGGAAACCCTGTACAGGGTCGCTATGAGTCAGAACTGACTCCACGGCACATAACAACAACAATACTCCATATCACAGAGTCCCCAGTTTACCACATTATCATACACAAATACACTACACACTTCAATAGTACAGAGGTCATAGATTTCCTTGAAAGTAATGAACCACCTTCCTGGAAAAACACACATACACAAAAATGTGCATAAAAACTTTCTAGCCAGCTCTAATGCACACTGACTGACTATGCTATAGCCATGCTTATCCTTACCACTGTTTATACCATTTCCCCACTTAACGCACCGTCCTCTCAGCATCTCTGAATTCTCACTTGTTGTTGCTGTTAAGTGCCACTGAGTCAGTTCCAACTGATAGCAATCCTGTATAGGGTTTTCGAGGAGCAGCTGGCAGGTATGAACTGCCAATTATGTGGTTCGCAGTCCAGTGCTAATCCTACAGTTTCACACCAATCCTAACCACTACATCCAACAAAAAGCCTTCCTAGACTAGCTCTTTTCTAAATTCCTATAGCTTATCAAATGACATTGCATTATTACTCAACCTTACCTGTATCTTGCAACTAGTATTGAAAGTTACATAGCAGCTAGCAGAATGAATAACTCAAAGCAGGCACTTAATATTTTCTGGCTGATGACCCCCAACCTAGACATACCTGGATCGGTTGGTGAATGATGTGCTGCACTGCTGGTTGTGCTGTAGCAGCATTTGGCAACTGAGAAGTTGGTCTTAAGACAGTGGTTACTTTAGAACTAGACATCACTGCAGCAGCAGCTGCACCTGAAAAAGAATTTTGTATTAGTTAGTATGGTTTAAGGGCTCAACAATGTCAATACATCCAATTATATTCCCTACAAAAACAGTCACAATAATTTATAAAACTCAGCTAATTCATGTCAGTACTCCTCAAACATGTTAGCTTTAGGGTCTCTTTATAAATTAAAACTTTACTGAGCACAACAAAGAACTTTAGGTGAGACTCCCTACTTCTACATTTAATAGTCAAACTATGTGGTTATCACCAGTTATACTATAACCAAATCTGTTACTGTCACTTGAAATTGTGTCTATATCATTTGATTAATTACCACTGATAAACATATGATGGCCCCTGAAATAAAGTTGTTTCTATGATAAGTAAGATATCTGTTTCAGAATGGCTGAATTAAGATGTTGCTTTGAAGTTTACACTGAGAAAACCTTAAAATATTTAATTTTAAAACAAAAATGAATACATTATATCACACCAAACCAGCGGCCATCAAGACGATTCTGTCACATGATGACCCCATGTTTATCAGAGTATAACTGTAGTCCATAGGGTTTTCAATGGATGAGTTTTGGGAAGCAGATTGTCAGGTCCTTTTTCATAGATGCTCCTGGGTGGATTATTACTGACAGCCTTCAGTTAGTAGCTGAGTGCATTTAACTGTTGACAAGCTTCTACAAAACTCATCACATCTTAATACTTTTTTTTTGGTGACAGTAACTAAAAAGTATTTTTAGTGACATTAACATTTTTACAAATCTCTTAAGGACCGGCCTAAAAGAAGACATGATTCTCATTTGCTTCAGCATTTAATCTGATGCAATACATTGTTTTGATTAAAATATATTTGACGAAAAATTACCTTCTATAGACAGGGAGTTGGAACATAGAGAAATAATTAACAATCTTTCCAGACAACTGGATTTAGAATGGTATGTAGCAGAATAAAAACTCACTGAAACTCAACATGTGGTATTTCATCTGAAGGAGAGTTGCAGTGTGGAAGCCCTATCAATGAGCTAGAAGGATCGTTGGACCACATTTTTGAGAGAAGTACTGAGTTACTAGAGTAAAGCTTAAAAAAACCCCAAAAGAGTAAAGCTTATTTTGTTTGTATCTGACTTTGCCAAAAATGACGTTTATATTTTCAACAGAATGTAACAATTTCTATTTGTCAATCAGTTGATAAATCTCATTAATTTTACTACCATACAATGTATTAAAACAAACTAAGAATAACAATTTGCTTGCTACAAAGTTTTTGTTGTTTTTTTTTAAAAAAAAGAGAGAGAGGCTGTTATCACTACAATAATATTCAGTATAAATATGAGGGGGCTTCAAAAAGTCTGTAGATAAATGGAATTAAAAGATAATGGAATTTTTTTAATGAACTTTTAGAAGCTCTCTCATGTATCTGAGTTTTTACAATAGAGATAATGTTTAGACTACCCTAGCTCTAGGGAGTTCCACAGTATAAGGGGCAAAATCTAGAACACACTAAAAATTTGTATTGCTTTATACATATACACACACACATACGATACACAAACATATACGTATATTGTACTGCAACTATAAACCAACTGCCATCAAGTGGATTCCAACTCACAGTGACCCTTAAGACAGAGTAGAGCTGGTCCAAAGGTTTTCTGAAGCTGTAAATCTCCTCTGAAGAGGACTGCCATGTCTTTCTTGTGGTGTGGCTGGTGGGTTCAAACCATAACCCAGCTCTTAACCCATTCCACCACCAGAGCTCCTTACCACATGAGGGGGCTTCAAAACGTTTGTGAAAAATTCCATTATCTTTTCATTTCATTGTCCAGGAAAGTTTTTTGAAGTCCCCTCCTATATATACATATTGATGTTAAGTTCTGGTTCCAACTCAAGGTGACTGACCCTGGATAGAGTGTCTGAGGCTGTAAATATTTACAGGAGCAGAAAGCCTCATCTTATTTCTGCAGAGTGGCTGGTAGCCTTGAACCACCGACCTTGTGTTAGCAGTCCAGTACTTATCCTACAGAGGCACAGCAATCCAATGCATACATTAAACTATGTAAAAACTGTACGTTGCTGAGTTTATTTCTATTATCACACAAGTTTAATACGCTGATTTAAGGTACTGTGTTACTATACTTTCTACCAAACATCTATCTGTCATTTCAAGAGACTTGCAGTCTTCACCTCGAGGTAAATGAGAAGCTCCTATGTGAAGAGGAGGCCCAGGAGCATTGCTGCGGATGATAGACATCTGTACGTTTGTAGTCATGATATGATGCAGGTTACTGGGATGTCCCTGCAACAAATGGATAGAACGTTATTTTCATGTGGTTAGCCATAGTATCTTGGAAGCCATTGCCTCCAGATGTGGGTTAAGCTGTTCCTTTTAGATAGTGAGTTCCCAAAGGGAAAGGACTAAGGTCATTTAGTTTTTGTTGCTGAGCATACTGCATGATGACACATGCAAGCAGGCTTGTGGTCAATAACTGTGAGTATCCATCAACTGCTTAGGGCCCAGAGGTTCCAAATTTAGAAACTCTTGTCTCCAGTATTAGTTTTTCATACTTCCTTTCTCTCTTAGCTGAAAGTTTGTTTCTTCCCATTCTCAAACTTACTGTACATGCCACTGTACCCACCAAGTCTCTGATGCTATCAAATGTTTCTAAATAAATCTCAGTCAGCACTCAACAGGTTACTTAGACATCTTTGGCTCGTCCCTTAAATGCCTCTTTATCACATTCTCCCAAACCTCTAGTGCCAGTGCTTCTTGGGTTGGAGTTTGAATATTCACTTCTGGAACTATTTAGCAGTATGACCAATAAAAAGGAAAAAACAAATACATAGTATATCTTTTTAGAATACTAATTTTTCCTAAAAACATGAACAAAAATATTTCTGATGCTTGGATTTTCCATTAGTAAGTAACTTTAAAATATTTAAACATCATATCAGAGAAACACTGCCTAACACTACTGTTGAATACTATCTAATCCCATCACAGTTTTCTACCTAAACCAAGGACCAACTATCTGCTCTGAGCTGCCCAAGGACATGGATTGTCTTATTCACATGTGCATCTTACAGTGACAGGAGTTGTTATTAAGTGTTGTTGAGTAGATTCTGACTCACTGTGACCTTATATAGGGTTTCCAAGGAGTGGCTTGTAGGTTTCAACTGCTGACTTGCAGTTAGTAGGCCAGTGTTTATCCTACAGCACCACACCAGGACTCTTATTGTGAGAATAGTTATCTAGCAGATGCTCCATAAATATAGCCTAAGTGACAAAGACTACACATTTAGATGCACATTAGCTTCTACTTCTTATAGCTGTCTTTCTCATACATGCTATCTTAACATTACAGATATTAGTGGTCCTTTAAATTATTATTTTGTATAGTGCCTAATGCACTGCTGATATTCAACATGTAGTGATCAACAGTTTGGCATCTCAGAAGACCAGCAAATTAAGAGAAAAATAACCTGTTGTCCACTGATTGTTGCCACAGGAATTGCTGACGCTTGAGGGATGCTACTCTCCATGGTAACGGTAACCTGCCCTGGAACCTTGGGGGGAAGTGACAAGGTAGAAGGTGGAGCGGGAGCAATAGGACGGCTAGGCATGGTGGGCTTTGGTGGTGGCTGCAAACAAAAAATCACATGAAACATATCAGTAACCTTTTACTAGTGATGCACTTCAATCTACAGTTAAAAGTAAACAAATCATACCTGGAGAGAGCCAGCAAAGATGTCAGAAGCCTTATATATTTTCTTTTCATTTCAGTACTAGCATTTCCATTTTACAGATGCAGAAATAAACAGAGTAAAGTTAAGTGACTCACTCAAAGCCACAAAGGAAGTAAAAAGTAGGGCTAGGAAAAAGGTCTAGTTCTATATGGGATATGGCCTGTTTTCTTTCTTCTATGCAATACTGTCTCCCAAGTTTAGGCAGTAAATAAAACTCCAAGTAACTGAAAACATACCACAAGGTAACTAAACAAGATAATTTTCTCATACATTCTCTTATCAGAACGCTTTTAATATAAGCAATTCAAAAATAGTAGTGGCACTCCCAAAACAAAAACAGAGTCAGTATGCTTATGGTTTAAAATCAATTTCAGAATATGATATGGGAAAAGATCTGTGATGCCTACTGCTCTGTGGGAAAAAAATATTTGAGTGGTAGAACAGGACAGCTCTGGGTTACAGAAAAGAGGTGAAATGACAAATGAAAAAGCAAAAGCAAAGAACAATCCTAGTATACAGCTTAAGATAGAATAAAAATTGCCATAAGTATCAGCTAGTCTTTAGCTATGCTTCAATATGAAATTTTAAGCCTCACTGTTACCTTCATAAGTCCCTCTGAAAATGAGAGTGGCACTGCTGGCGTCAGATGTGCTGGTGGGGCTGTTACTGTGACGGGTGTGCCCGATGAAACAGCATGGTGTGTAGACAACATCTGGACCTGTGGATAGGGTCTTACTACAACAGGCTCTTGTTTCTCTTCACGGGACTGGAGGGAGCTACTAGAACCCAGGTGCTCCCTGGCAGTGACTTCAGCATCTCGAGTTGATTCATCATTGACTAGGAAATATATCAAGGATTAAAAAGTCATATACTCCCAAAGTTAATTAATATATAGTACATACAAAAGTGGCACTTGCAACTAAGTTTCAGGGTTGATAAGCTAATCATTTCATTGTGACATTTCCTTAACAAGGAAAATATGAGCACAGATTCACCTTATAGAATCAGGTCTTGAAGTGACAACCTATGAAACTTTTTCTGGGTATTGTGGATTTCACACCTTTAGAGGAAATGACTTAGAATCCATCTAAAATGAACTCAAACAGCTGAAAGTGCAATACAGATTATAAGACAATTTCATTTCATTTCATTTTCGGAAAAAATTTCAAAATCCTACTATTAAGAATAGTACATACAGTTCCTAAGTATAAGAGCATATAAACAGTCAATGAATTTCTTAGTCTAAACCCCTACAAAGAGAATATGGTTAAATCTATCATTATTAAAGTGCATATACTAATAAGGAAGAATGTATAAGAATTGATGCTTTTGAGTTATGGTGTTGGAGAAGAATATTCAACGTGCCATGGGCTGCCAAAAGAACAAACATCTGTTTTGGAAGAAGTGCAGCCAGAGTGCTCCTTAGAGGCCAGGATGGCCAAACTTCATCTCTCATACTTCAGACATATTGTCAGGAGGGATGAGTCTCTGGAGAAGGATATCATGTTTGGTAAGGTGGAAGGTCAGAGAATAGAAGAAGATCCCCAGCAAGATGGATTGGCAATATGGTAGCATCAATGGGCTCAAGCATGGCAACAATTACGAGGTTGGCCCAGGACCGGGCAGTGTTTCATTCTGTTGTACATAGGGTCGCTATGAGTCAGTACCGACTCGATGGAACCTAACAAAAACAACAACTCTTGGCTGGTGGTGGTGATGAAGTGTCATCAAGTTGGTTCCGACTCACAATGATCTTATATAGGGTTTCCAAGTAACGCCTGCACAATGGGATGTGGCCATTTTGCTCTCATGGGTTTTCACTGACTGGTTTTTCAAAAGTAGATGGCCAGGCTTTTCTTTCTAGTTTCTGTTAGTTTGAAAGCTCCATCCAAACATATTCATTATCATAGCAACACACAAGCCTCCAGTGACAGACAGGAGGTAGCAGTGCTTAAAATGTACCAGTTTCGAATACAGTCCACGTCTCCTATATGGAATGTAAGAATTCTACCACTGAACTACCACTGTCTTTGAAGGAGAACACATACAAATACATATATATCTGCACATGGATAAACATCTTCAAAACCATTGTATTTTATTTAAAGAAAAAGAAAGTGGATGACTGGGGGGTGGTAGGAAGAGAAACGACAGTGATACTTTTTATTGTATACTCTTAGAATTTTAACCTATGAGAGCACGTTAACACACCACACTATCACTTTAAAAATTAAAACAGAGGAGTCCCAGACAAGGTGGCAGAGTAAGCAGACACACTGAGCCAACCCTCTGTAACAAAGACAAGGGAGATGGAGTAAAACAGATGGTAATCCTGGAACCCTGAGCATCAGAGGAAAGGACAGAAAAGGGGACTGAGTGCCAAACTGGAAGAGGAGGCTAAACAAGAGAGAGAGAAAGAAAGAGGGAGAGGGAAAGGTGGACCATGGGCTAACATGGCATGGCCGTACTGAGTTTTTTGAACAGTTGTTGATAAAGCACAGGAGGTGGCAGTTGTTGTTGTTGTTAAGTACCATGAAGTTGGTTCCAACTCATAGTGACCCTGCACAGGGTTTCCAAGGCTGCAAATCTTTACGGGAGCAGAAAGTCTCATCTTTCTCCCGCAGAACAGCTGGTAGTTTCGAACTGCTGACCTTGCAACTTGCAGCCCGATTCATAACCACTACGCTACCAGAGGCTGGCAGTAAGGCAGTTCAATTCTCCCTTGTTCCCATGCCTTTCTGGTAGCCAGAGGCGTGGCCAGTCCCTGCCCTTACCAACCCAGGGGCCAGTGGCACCACCTCTTGCACAGCTTCTGCTCTATCTGGAGTCAGGTGTTCTGGCATAGAACCCCTGCTTCTTGAGGTCTCTGATCCCACCTTGAACTATGCTACATAAACAGTGAACAGAGAACTATGTTCACACTTCAAGTCTCTACCACACACACAGGAAACAGCTGGTGAGTACGTGGGAACACACCAATATACAATTAATAGCTAAATTGAAATATGAAACTACAAAGTCTTGGAGAAAAACAGACAACTTCAGCTTACACAAAGAAGTAAGACAGAGTACCTCAAACAAGTTACTAAAATGCAGACATAGAAAATACCAGAAATGGTATCAGAATTACCTGATAAGGAATCTAAAATAATATTAATTAGGCAATTTCAAGGGATCGTGAGAAATATCAAGAAAACTACACATGAAATCATGGAAAACATAGACAAAGCTATAGAAAAATCCATGAGTAAAACCTGACAAAGTAATCGAAACACTGGGAACAAAAACAACTACCACTGTGGTTGTTAAATGCCTTCCAGTCAGTTCTGACTCAGAGAGACCCTGTTTAAGGTTAGAACCGCCAACCTTGTAGTTGACAGTTCAGTACTTCTCCTACAGTGCTTATCCTACAGAAGTCCATAATTAACACTAACTCTTCAAAAATAAATAATACACTGAAAGAGCAAAGAAAAAGAACTGAATCAATGGAAAGCCAAATTACTGAGCTTAGAAAAAATTCCGCTGAGGAACAATCAGAAAAAGAATAAAAAAAACTCTAAAGAAAGCCTAATATTTATGTGGGACACTGTATCAAGAGAAATAACTTGCATGTGATAGGAAATCCAGAACAGGAAGAAACAAATAAAACCGCAGAGAATATTGTCCAAGAGTTGTTGGAAAAAAAACTTCCCTAACATTCAAGCTGGATTCAGAAGAGGCCATGGAACAAGGGATATCATTGCTGATATCCGATGGATCTTGGTTGAAAGCAGAAAATATCAGAAAGATGTTTACCTGTGCTTTATTGACTATGCAAAGGCTTTCGATTATGTGGATCATGACAGCTATGGACAACATTGTGAAGTATGAGTATACCAGAACACTTTATTGTGCTCATGAGGAATCTGTACCTGGACAAAGAAGCAGTTGTTTGAACAGAACATGGGAACACTGAATGGCTTAAAATTAAGAAAGGTGTGCAACAAGATTGTATTCTTTCACCATATTTATTCAACCTGTATGCTGAGCAAATAATCCGAGAAACTGGGTTATATGAAGAAAAATGTGGCATCAGGCTTGGAGGAAGACTCATAAACAACCTGCAATATGCAGATGAGACAACCTGGCTTGCTGAAAGTGAAGAGGACTTAAAACATTTACTGATGAAGATCAAAGAGCACAGCCTATGGTATGGATTAAATCTCAATGTCAAGAAATCAAAAATCCTCATGACTGGACCAATAAACAACAATCAGTAGAGAAAAGACTGAAGCTGTCAAGGATTTCATTCTTCTTGGATAAACTATCAACACTCATGGAAGCAGCAGTCAAGAAATCAGATGACATATTGCATTAGGCAAATCTGCTGCACAAAACCTTTTTAAAGTGTTGAAGAGCAAAGATGTCAGCTTGAGGAATAAAGTGCACCTGACCCAAGCCATGCTATTTTCAATAACCTCATATGCATGCGAAAGCTGGATAGTGAATAAGGAAGACCGTAGAAGAATTTATGCTTTTGAATTGTGGTGTTGGAGAATATTGAAAGTGCCATGGGCTGCCAAAAAAACCCAATAAATACGTTTTGGAAGAAGTGCAGCCAGAGTGCTTCTTGAAGACCAAGATGGCCAAACTTCGACTCTCATACTTCAGACATATTGTCAGGAGGGACCAGTCGCTGGAGAATGGTATCATGTTTGGTAAAGGTCGAGGGTCTGAGAAAAAGAGGAAGACCCCCTACGAAATGGATTGGCCACGTGGCAGTATCTATGGACTCAAGTGTGGCAACAATAGTGAGGTTGGCCCAGAATCAGGCAGTGTTTCATTCTGCTGTGCATAAGGTCGCCATGAATCGGTTCTCGATGACACCTAACAACAACAACAATATCATGAAAATGAGAAGATAGCTATTCAAGAGATTGAACAAACTCCAAACAGAATAGACCTCAAAAGAAAAATCTTAAGATATATTTACTATAGCCAAGCTTTTCAAAATCAACCACGTGGCAATAAGACATTTATAAACTGTGAAAGAAACAAACTGCAAACCAAGAATTATATATACAGTACAACTTTCCATCAAATATGATGGTGAAACTAGGTCATTTTCAGCCAACCAGAAATTAAAAGAATTTGTAAAAACTAGATCCACCTTAGAAAAAAATACTAAATGAAGTTCTGTGGACAGAACCAGCAATAGCAGACAATTGTTGTTGTTGTTATTATGTGCCGTGGAGTTGGTTCCAACTCATAGCGACCCTGCACAGGGTTTCGGAGGCTGTTAATCTTTACGGGAGCAGAACGCCTCAACTTTCTCCCGCGAAGCAGCTGGTAGTTTCGAACTGCTGACCTTGCAGTTCACAGCCCAATCCGTAACCATTAAGCTATAGAAACTAACACACATGACAATATCACCTAGACTCAATCCAAATATTGTTGTTGCTGCTGTTATATACCATTGAGTCGATTCCATTCATAGTGACCCTGTATAGGGTTTCTGAGGACCAACTGGTGAACTTGAACCACCAACCCTGTGGTCCAAACCAACCTTGCAGTCCAGTGCATTAACCAACAGCACCACACCAGGACTCTGAAGGTGGTTTATCTCACCTTTAATCCCACCATGACCCTGATAAAAAAAATGACAGATCCATCCCCAAAGGTATGGCATGGAACACCTTGTCTTTTACAAGAGAAAAAAAAGAAAGAGAAAGAGGGGGCTACTACCACCACGAAAGAAAAGCCAAAAGTGGAGTGTGTCCTTTGGACCTACAGTTCGTGTACTGTGAAGCTCCAAAATCCAGGGAATGACTGATGTCAAAATACATGAAAATCTCCAA